ATCAAAACTAAGCTTCAGATTGAGGCTGACCTTTTTTACTGAAAAATGGTATGTTTTACCAGGAAAAGCTTAAAGTTCCTTCCTTTTATTTTGGCGATTAAAGGTTTAAAACCCACTACCTTTTGTAGGTTTTGGTGGTGGTTTTTTGTTTGTTTGTTTTTGGGTTGTGGTGGGGTTTTTTGTTTTGTTTTTTGTTTTCGTGGTGCTGTTCTGTTTTTTTTTGTTTGGTTGTTTTGGTTTGGGTTTTTTTTGTTTACACTCTTACTGGACTTAGGTGCTTGACTGTACCAGAGAAGTCTTTCTGAATAGTTCTGTTGCATGGCCTTGGTTTGAATAGGAAGAAGACTTGTTCATCAGCTTTCATTTTTGTAAAAAGACAGCCAACAACATTTAATGTAAAGTATTTTTCCCAGCTGGAAAAAAAGGCAAATTTCACATGCTTCTCCCTCTAAACATAAATTATTTTCAGCTGTATTATCCATTTTGTTTCTAGAAAGAAGGGGGGCGAGGGTAGGGAATAAATCTGTCTGCTATAAACTTGCCTGTTCACAGAAATAAAGACTACAACTGTATGGGAAAACGTTCCAAGTTACCAGTTGTCACTGCCCACTCTCTTGTGGTGGTTTTGGGTTTTTTGTTGCATTGTTGGGTTGTTTTGGTTTTAAGAACTTGAAGAAGTATTTACAAAATACTAAAAGATAATTTGTACAGACCTATAGCAAACAAGAAAACATAAAATATTTCAGCCTATTTTAAAATATTTCAGTTTGTTACACAGTTGGAGCTTTGCATTTAAAAAGTAGTTAAAACAATAATCAGAGTATAGAAGATATAAGATAAAAAACTAATTCCAGATGTATTTTACTGTGATTAAGACCTAGTTGGATTATACTCTAACTAATTACAAGAATTAGTGAAAAGTAGCAATTTCCAATAAATTCTAAGAATTCGGGGTCATAAAAATTACACTTGCCAAAGATGTCATTGTCAGCTCAAAGCTTCAAAAGTACTAAACACTAATGGAAGAATTCAACTAAAACTTGGCTGCTGTCAATCTTGACAGAATTAAGCCTCCTGGAATTACAGAAATAACCTTAACTTTAATCTTTAGAACTTCCACTCAGTAAAGAATTCTTCCCACATATCTTTTTAGATTACTCAATAACTCTACAGTAAAAGCCATCTGCTATCACGCATAAAACCCAGCAGGCTATCTAGTCTTTCCCAAGCGACTGATCTTTCCTTTTTCCTGTAATTTACATTCAGATCATCTTCTGATAGAAATCACAGACACTTTTGATAGTAACTTCTTACTAGGCACTTCATTATATTCTTCTGACACCATCTCTTTTTCATCACTGCCTTAAAGTATATTTTTCTACTTTATCTAATCAACACTGTAAAGTAGTAAATTTATAGTCACTAACTTAAGTTAATTACACTAGATCATAGAGTCACTTAAAAATATGCATTGCACCCTCAGGCATTTTTCTTCTTCCAAATTACAACTTCAGTAAGAAATTAAGATTGAATACAGACATTGACTTGGTTGGTATGATTCCAAACAAAAAAAGGGAGATGAAAATGTACTTCCTCAATGCCAGTTTATAGCTGTTACTATTAACTAGAGTAACACAAATGTGACTATAATAAGAAAGGCATTATTCTGAGCAATGAAGCACCTTATGTCATTATTTGGTAACATCATGAGAACTATGAAAATATTTATTCCTTGGTAAAGTTATCATTGATGGCTGTACTGCTGAGGTCCCTCCACCAGTCCTAAAGTTAGAACATTAGTATCAACAGACTTTTTTCCCTTTGTAGTATCTTAAGCAAAGCAAGCATTAATAGCTTAATGATCAGACATACGAGGCATCAGTCAATCCAGACGTCACACAACCATTGTATCAAAACTATCCCATGCAGAATGAACTTTGTGAACCCTTCAAATTAGCCTGGACAAATTCCCTCCTTTCCCAAAAGGATTTCCTGTTGTAAGCATATGCTTAGCATCTTTCACATATCTTTTTCCATCCAGGTAACTCAGCTTGGTAAAGTATAATCACTGAAAAATACCCCTTAAAATGTTCCTTGCTTTTTTCATTTTTCAGACTTTGAAGTACTTCAAATTGCTGTCAGTCCCTGTTATAAGCTAGTAACAAATACGTTAGTCTTGCAGAACACTCCCCAACTCTCCGAAAGAAAGTGAATTGCATAGTAAAATCTCTGATACATCATTAATATTACTATGGCAATCACGTATTCTTTTGTCTCCAAAGCACTCAAAAAGAGATTTCTGCCATATATTTCAACAGACTCAAAACCATTTTAAAGTACGGTTTGCATGGAGCTGTAACACTATGCTCTGAAATACTGACAACATATACCCCTATATTTTGAATATGGGTTCAATTTTAGTCCTACAGTAACAAAGTACATAGGACAAAACTGCACCTAACTTCCTTGTGGACAAGATTAACTCTTATCCACTTTTGGCGTCACTTTCTTAGTTTCATTAGCAGAAGGATTAGCTCTTTTATCCCACTGGTCAAAAGCAGAGACCTGAGATATCTCACTCAATTTCTGGTGTCATACTTCTCAGACTGTGCAGAATTCTTGAAAGAATCACTGAAAATGGAGAATGTCCTTGTATTTCCAATACTAAACAAAAGAACCCTTTTAATCAGTTTAAGCAAAGCAATACTGTTTAGGTGCTAGCTAGAAGTCTACTGCTGGAAACAAAATACTACACCAAATATCTGTAATTCCCAGAAAACATGCAAGGTTCCAGTATACTTCCACTATGTCTTTGCGGACAAGAAAAACCAAATTTTACGTGATCTTAGACAAAAGTTTTCAGCAACAGAAATCATTTAACAGTCTGAGAAAAAATTGGTGACAACAGGAACACAAACCACCACTTTTGTATTTGCTAAATATCTAACCGAAATGATTGCCAGGTCTAGAAAACAAGAACCAATCTGTTCTAAATGGAATGGCATGAACGAGAATAATGTTGATGTTATGGTCAGAGAAGCATTTCTTTTTATGGTAACTATATTCTAAACATTTCCCTTTTAGTAAAAAAAAACCTTCCACAGTTTAATGCTCACAAGGCAGAAAATGTTCTGGAGATGTAGACTGCATCCAAAGTATCTTCTAACACAATCCCCCCAAACAAAAATATAACAAGCCATTGTGCAGAATTGTCAGAAGAGTAAATAAAAATTCTTCAGCGTACTTACTTTCACCAGCGTTCCGCTCAACTGCTTGCAAGGAAACCTGAACACTAGCTAGGAGCTTCTGTCTGTAAATATCACCGGTATGTCAGAAGATTTCCCCCTTCCCTGCCTAAACTTCTCCTTAAATTACATTCAGATTTCAGTCGTACCGTAACAACTTCAATATGGCACGTATTTCAGTATTTTGTAAAGATTTCAATTCCATTTCCGCCTCCAGTTATTGTTGCTTTACATTTTTCATCCTGGCTGCTCTGCAGGACGTACATCCTTGAAGTATTTATGTGAGGTCTTACAGCTTTAACATGGAATATTGTCAACTACTATATCAAAACCACATCAAGCTATATACTGAAGCGATATCCGGTATTATAGGATACGCAACAGATTTCACCATGTTTTATCAAAACATGTGTCAAAGCAATGCAATTCCTGACAGCAAAATACAAGTGAGTCATGCAAAAAATGATTGTTCGTGCTTTTACAAGATTCATATGAACTTTCTTTCAATTCCATTCATGGGAATGTACACTCCTTAATTGCACAGCTTGATTTTTTCAAGTTTAAATGAGGACAAAATCCAAAATAAATCTCAACAAAATTGTTCTGTTTTGCCTGCTATGGGTCAATATCACATAAAATGCCAAAACGCTCCCCCCCACCAGGCAGAAATTGCAGACAATCCTATATCCACTTGGAACCTAGCACAAGCTTTCTAAATGGCCACAAACCATTCTAAATATTCTGGGTATATACCAAAATTGGGATTCACTGTACATTGCAAAAACCCCGTGCAAAGCATGAAAATTAGAATTAATGTGTACTTAGACAATTCTTATTTTTTATTCTATAGAAGTAATTTGTGAGAAGTTATGCTGTATACTTTATAGTTCAGATACCTAAAAGAAACTGTCAAGATGTATTAATGTCAGAGTTCATGTCTCTTTTAACTGTGGCAGGCTATCTTTAAGTACATTATTCCAGAACCCAGTAAGAAGGCTGGACTTGAAACTAACTGAAGATTGACTCTAAGTTTATAACATTCTTTAATTCAACTAAGGCAGTGTTTAGCTGAGGACTTTAGGCACGAATAGAATACAGCATTATCGTTCTTTACAGACCATTTTCCAAATTTTGCATACAATCTCACATGGTCACACTCACTAAATCAGAGCAGAATTTGCAAGATATCCACACAATGCAGGACTATCTAGAGCACAGTTTGAAGAACAGAAGTATGTTATCTATTCACAGTATTTTCTTTGTATAACATTCATCTGTTATATAAACCAATGTGCAAACACTGAAGACAAAGTATGGAAAAAGCTTAATAGATTAAATATACTCTATTACTGTTTGTAAATGTCTATATTTTATAGTTCTATTGGAACGTGTGCATGTGAGTACACATGTATATTATACAGCATTTATATTAGAGTCTTCAAAAAAATGGGGCTATTCTGTTAGTGTAGTAACAACTGGACAGAAGCTAAAACCAGCTAAACTTATGTGAGACATTCCTACTTAGCTTGATAAGGAAGGACTAAACAGAATCTAACTCAAATCACCCTTCTAATGAAATATTCTATAATCTACTCCTAGCTTCCTGTGAAATCAATGTAGCTTGCATCAAACATCTACTTAATAAGGCTACTAAATCACTTCAAAGGAAAGTCTTCAAAGCACAAGGAGTAATACGTAAATTTACAAGAGCTTAAAGCTCTGTCAGTGAGCATTTCAGCTCTAACAGATTCTTACCAGCTCTGGTGTGTCTTCTGCTAATGGCAAAAACGTAGCTTCCAGAATAGCAACTTGATCAGGGCTGAGCTTCTGCCACAGACTAATCAGCATAATCACCAGATGGGTGGCACTTTTCAACTTTGTGAATGCCTGGAACACATTGGCTTGATTTTCTTCTGCTGCATCTGCTAGAGCTATTACCTGCAAAAATTACAAACGTCTGTTAAGTCTAATTTTACCATCCGTGAACACTCAACTCTGAAATTACCTTTGGCACACTCATGTTTTCCTTTAGAAGATCCTGAAGAATTCTGTTTTCCATAAACACAAACCACCGAGTACTTATCTAGATTTTTCTTTTGCATACCAAAGGCAATTTCAAGTCCATATGGCAACAGGATTAACCTAGTACAATCAGTGTAGAAAGGACTCTGTTCAGAGCATATTCTTGTGACACTCCTGAAACTGATCCCCATCATAACACATAATACACGGTAACAAACCAACTTCCAGGTTTATACCACACAAGACACTAATCCCTGTATGACCAGCAAGCCTACTGTATTAAACAAACAAAATGCATTGATTTTATGCAATTAAAAATGCAGTATATAATTATTTCCACATGAACATAACTGCCATTGTTATTTTAAAAACCTGGAGACACCTGAGAGTTTATCACTAGTTGCTTCAGCTTTTATGCCAAAATGTAGACATTATGGATCATGTAGGCAATCTCACTTTAACTGCCAGACACTATGAAAGAATTTTCAAAACAAAATAAAATGGCAGATTCACTTCTAAGATGGTAAGACAGCTTTGCTAACTACTTCAAGATGGGGAAAAACAGAAGAGCTGTTCTACAATATTCTACTAATTTCAGAAAAAACTTGTCATTGTGTACAATATTGTCCACTCACAGCATTACAAAAAATGGTATTTTGAAAAACATTGCTATAAACGCCTGCTTTCTTGAAATATAGTGTTTAGACATTTTCCATTTACTTCAACTAAAAGAAAGGAACAAAGGTTAGGGGGTTATCCTGAGGGAGCAAACTTAAAAGACCTGTTCTTATGAATGCTACTACATCTTCATGTTGCCTGAATAATACTTGGCTTACAGCAGCGCTAATTGTCTTCACTGTCATTTAAATCAACACAAAGCACCTCCCTCAACCACTTTCTCCTTCTGTTTACTTTTCTGCAAAATGGGGTAATAGGTGCTTGACTGCAGTTGTGAAAAGCTTCACAGAAATGCAGTTAAAGTGTAATTAGTATTACAACAGAATTTACAAAGTAAAACTTGCAGAGCTTGATCCACTAACATTTGGCAACAGCAGGAAAACGAAAACACTATATGATGCATCTTCAGCCTGGAAACAAAGCCAACCAGCTGTTAGCATCTGGTGGAGGAAAACTATTTTTAATCTGCAACACTGGCATTAGAGATGCGTGTGTTCCCTCTAAGCTCCCATGCGACCAGGAAGATAAAGAAAACAGAATTTTAAGGAATGATAAATAAGAAACATTTCAAACAAAATGTGTTGATAGTTTTTGGTTTAGTTTTTAAAATGTAATGTTTCCAAATAAAATGGAGAACCCACAGAACACTCATGAGTCCAAACACTACATAAATCAGAGCCAGTAACAAAATAAAACCAAAAAAGCCCAGCTAACCATGTGAAGGAGAAGTGAGAAATTAATCCTAAATAGTGAAAACCAATATGATGTACTTTGCTTGGAGGAGAGTAACAGTATCACAGACATGTCACCTGATACAATCAGTTTGTTCAGACCAAACCCTGATGTTCTTCTTATGTCACATTCTGCCTGAGGTGGAGTTCCATACTGTAGTTACTTTTCAACAGGGTTATGGGTGACATAGCTACATGGCAAATGCAACACTACGTAGTACCCTACATCAGTTGCATCTGACCACTGTAAGCAGTATTTGTATGCACTATACAGTTTCACCTTTCCGAGGAGACAAGCAACAACAGTACAGAAGTTCTCCTCAATCTGACAGGGGCCTTTTCAAGTATCTTTCCTGTCCAATACGCATTTAAGAACTTTGGGAAGAAAAATATGCAAAGATGAATTTAACACACTGATGGCAATCATCAGTATGCTTCCTATAATACCATTACTGGACAGCACAGTGCAATAGATAAATTCACAATTCCTGGAATTTGGAATAAAGACAAGCTAGCGGTATCCTATTACGGAAAATCCTCAGCTAACGTCAGTTTTGCTGAAGAAGCAGGCAAATACATTTGCACTTTATGACAACTACCTGAACCTCACTATCACAACAAAGGTAAAGGACACCTTCTTGACTGAGTCATTGATGCATTTCTAGGTCATCTCTTACTCTGTGCTGTATATTTCAGCTTACACTGTACTGTATAGCTGAGAAGTATAAATGACATGAGAGAAGTAACTGACGTGGCCATTTACCTTAAGAATCCTTCATTTCAGAATGGTCTTTCTTTCCATTTTATAACCATGAACAAAGGAAATGCTTACCTTTTCATAAGCTATAGATTTAAAACAAATATACCAGTACTGCCAGACAATATCTAATGTACCAAGCCTATAAACTATTTTGAAAGCAGCTTCATAAAAAAATGTTAAAAAGTACAACTGTTAAAAAAGTCTGTCTTTGGTACAAAATTTTACAGTTCTGAAGACACAATAATACAAGATAAATATTATACCAGTGATAGGCCTAAGTTTCTAAAGGAGAGGTGCAGTCTTGGAAGTGTTGCAGGTCACTGAAACATATAGCAATTGAATCTCTACATGACCACATATATACAAGTTCTACTTTACACTTGCAGAGAAACCAAACAGTGGAAAAAAAAAACATTTCCAAGTACTAATTATTCTGCTAATAGATGAAGTGACAAATACACCTTTCTGAGACCTGGAATATCCAGGATAATAAAATATTAATTACCATATGATAATGTAGGCACACCAGTCATGGTAGTTTTAGAAAAGCCTATACCACAGACAGAGAAAGGGTTGTCAAAACAGCACTTTTTGAGATATGCTGAGAACTGAAAGCCAAAGCAACACAGAAAGCAGCTGGAAGGGACTAAAGATAACTTTGACAATACATGGTTCCACAGTAAATACTTAATATGAGGGAAAAAAAGAAATCTTCCCTCACAGAGGAAAATAAAACATCTCACAGGACATCAGCTATAAATTTTATAAGCACTGTGGGGTTCTTCATTCAAACACTTGCAGAATTCATGCACGAATAAATTCTAAAAACATGACATTCACATTTTTTAACTATTTTATTTACACCTGAACATTATCTCTAATTGTGTTTTACAATAGTTGAGGAAAATAAAGAATCTGTACAGTTTGCAAACTGACATCCTAGTCTCTTCAGACTCAGTCACAGTTTCTCCATAATTTCCCAAGTGTATCTTCAGTTCTCACAGTAGTTGTCCAATCTGTTTAGTTAAGATCTATTTTATTATCTTTCTAAACAGATATGAATTTTTAAAAAAGGGAAATCTGTCTCACTTTTTCACAGGGTAGGTGGAAAAATATATTGCAACTGGCAGTCCCAAGCATAGCTTAGATGCAAACATTTTAGATCAACTGAAGCTATCAAGTAAAAAGCCCATCCATATTCCCTAACACCTACCATTGCCTATTTAAAATTTTTCTTTCTCCATCTTTAATATCACAAAGCTTTCGAGTAAAGAAAACCAAAAATAAGTTTGTCAAACTTTCTAATCCCAATGAAAGAAAAGAAAGTGGCTGATGCAGGAAAGATTTAACAGGCACTATAATGAGTGTTGAATATATATATTCAACATACTCAATACTGAGTATAGCATTGAATACATATTTTTACAACCGACTAAAACTTGTTTTTCATTTACATCCTTTTCTGTTTAAATTTTTCTGACCACATTCTTGCTTTGTTCCAATAAACCTACCCACAGTACAGGCCAGTAAACTTATTAATGAAAGCATGTTGTAAAAAGAAAAGGAAAAAAAACCTATTCTCTAAATTAAGATACTATTTAAGATTTTCACTAAACTTCATATTCACAGTTGCAAAGGTAGAGCTGAAATCCGGAAGGACTTTTGTATTCTTGAGAACTTCACCCCTCAACACAATTGCCAGGATTTGACTGCAATAATTTCCAAGCGTAGAGCATTTCTCATGTTTTCAGCCTTAAGTGTTCAAGCATAAAGATTTCTCTCCACACTTATTTCATTGCTAAGTAGACCTTATAAGATGTCAAGCATTTGAAAACTGTAAACTAATGGCAATTCAAGTTTTAAAACCAACCAGATTTCTCCATTATTAGTACTTATAGATATTTTTTAGAGCACTGTGTAACATCCAGCAATAATTTCAAAATGACTAATCCCTCTTGAAAAAGTCTTGCAACATACCCACTCTTGTATATTCAGACAAGTTCCTTGGGGCAATAATGAACATCACTCTCCCAGACTTATTCCAATAATACAAAAAAATGCAAATACAATTCCAAAAATACAAAATGCCTTCTATTAACTGGCTAGGAAGTTGAAAAAAACTTTAAAAAAGTAAAGGGCAAGAAATGAGTATGAAGTTCCAAGGAGCTTTCTTTTGAGTTGGTAGGGTATTTTCTTGGAGTCCCTAACATCATTGGGACTGAAGACTCTCACAGGTTTCATGCCATATTCTAAAATGGAGAACAGGAAATGTGACCAACAATTTGGTTTTCTTTTTTTTAAAACAGCCAAGAAAAACATAATTGCCCACCAATGGTGAAACTTAAGCCAACTAGTCTTATTCTCACCTAGTTCTATCACACAGGGTTCAGTCTCTAGTAAATTTGAAGTATCTTCATTTTTAGCAGAAATCAAGTCTGAAAAGAGTAGCAGTTTGGCATTTCATGAGTACAGAATCTCTACATTTCAGCCATAGCACTTAGGAGCAAGTTTTCTATGCAAAATTTGTTAAAATATGAAAAGGGACACCAGAAATCTAATTACTCTGAAATGGGCACAGGGATGATGAATTATCAAGACTATTATGTACCACACTGTAAATTAATCATAATCAAAGCCTTTATACCTGGTTTCAAAAGAGCCATTCTGTACACAGTTACACAAGCAAAGAGAGATCACAAGCCCACAGGTCTCTTCTGGCAATTGTTCCTATGGAATAATTTATTGCA